TCCAATGCAAGAATGGTTTACACATGATTTGGTACTTGGGAGCAGATTGGCTGTCTTTCTTCTGTGGAGCACCTGGTGACTTTAAACCAGACACATTTGGTTTGACAGCACAAATCCCCACCAGAGCTCCCTTTCTCTGATTGATTGTTGGAGCAAAATCTCTAACCAAAAACTCTTCCAATTAAAACTTACCAATATCCTTATTACTCCTTTGGCTCACTGGTGGATTCAAATCATCAAAGATGTGTGGCTATTTGGATAGCAGTGTGATCCCCTATGAACTGCACCATCTGAGTTCCTTACTGGAAATTCAACACTCAACTCAACTCAAACCTGACCCTTCAATGGGTTTCCAGATACTGTAAAAAGCTCAGGGGTAGACTGCCCACCTTTCTACTGAAGAGCAACTGGCAGATTCAAATTAGATTACCTTTAGGTTGGCAGCACAACTCCTTACTCTATGCCACCGGGAAGAAGCTCTCAGTCTGAATTCAACTTGTCAGCAGATCTATATTCTCTTTGAAATCTAACAAGGAAGATCTTTGTTTATCCCTCCCAGTTTCTGGTAGTCCCTTGCGTTCTTTCCTTGATGATTTCCACATATTATCCTGGAGTTTCTCAGTGTCAAAGAGCCTTCCCAGTGCAGAAGGCTAGCCAAGAAGGATATTCGCAACTCCTAGAGATTATTTCTCGGCAGTAAGAAGCATACCATGGACTGCCAGAGAACAAACAGGCTGTCCTAGAGAGGGTGAAGACAGATTGCTACTTGGAGGCAAGGATTTGGAAATGTCATCTCACTTACTTTGAGCATGTTGCCAAGAGGAACCTGTTATTGGAGAAGGACTTTATGCTTGGAAGGGTAGAGGGTCAGTGCAGTAGAGGAAGACCCTGGATGAAATGGGTGACATCGTGACTGTGGCAATGGGATAAAAAAATTGTGAGGTTGATTCAGAATAGGGAAAGGTTCGGAGCTATTGTACTTAGGGTCATTCTGAGTCACAGTGGACTTGACTGCACATAATAATAATACACTAACCACTGAGCATCCACCTCTCAAAATTTGTTTTATTTCCTTTATATCTCTAGCTATATAAAAGGTGTCACAAACTGTGCCCTAAGGTAATTCTCTTTAAAAGGTGTCACAAACTGTGCCCTAAGGTAATTCTCTTTAAAAGGTGTCACAAACTGTGCCCTAAGGTAATTCTCTTTACATTTAATCAGGGCTGTTTTGTATTTCAATCTTAATGTCCTTGCAATTATTTGGTTTATCAGGCCATGGGAGGACTATTACATAGCTTCTATATGATACATATGTATGTTTGGGGTTCACAGTTAAATTCATGACCATAAATATTTTATTTGCCAAAAAAAATCATGCCATATACTCTATTATTTTAAAAAGATAATGTCTCCTGCATACAATGTTAAAAACTTTTTTTTCCTGCACATACACTTACAAAATTAGACACCACTTTCATATAATTCAACTGGTCTAAGATATGTTTAAGCCTTCACATGATTTCTACGTAAATAGGAGTATTTATATTTTTCAGTAAAACACACATACATGATATATATTTGGACCCAAATATCAATTGGTTTTGTTTTCTTTAACGAAGACAAGATTTGGAAGAAAATTGTTTCTCTCTCAAAAAGTAGGTGTTTTGTACTTAAATGTATTTATTGAAAGATTTATAAAATCATATGCTTAATTAAGTACATTTTCATCCCAACAAGCCAAACAGTAGTCTAAGTTTTTCTACCTAAGAGATGAAAAGAATATAATAAATAAAAACAATGCTAAAAAAGCTGATTTCTATTCACCCTACCAGGCAGACAACTAAAACAAATAATGACAACTAATTAGTTTTGGCCCTGGTACGACTCTATGAAACCAGAAATGAAACACCCAGAGAAGGAAATGGTTCCTTATCAAATGCCTAATGTATTTTTACTTTTAAATATTAAATTAATTAGATTCAAATGATAATGCAGAGAATGTGAAACTGAGGTGGGATTGTATTTAAAAAAAAAACCAAAAAACTGTTTTAGTTTAGCCCTAGTAGTTTCCCTAGGCAAACCAAGAAAATGTTAAATTGAATATTTTTTATGGAGTGTTCTAAGAATTCTCAACAGGAATACATTATACCACCTTTACCAAGCAACTTTAAAAGATGATTTTTAAAAAAATAAAGAAGGAAAATAACATGTAATTAATCTGCATGATTTAACATAATATTATTAATTTTGCTTTTGGATTAAGGTGTGAAGTCAGTTATCTTAGGCACTCTTCTTACACATATGACAAATATTTACTTCTGCAATGCATAGAAATCTTCTAAGTAAGCTGCAAAATTGAATACCTTTGATAAATGTGTCAGCTTTCTTATTTTAATTTCTATTGAAGCTTGTCTCCAAGATCCTCAGTGTTTTTTTTACTTCTTTGTGCCCTGTTTCTCTTCTTTGAAATAATTTTTTCCCTTTTCCATGCTAAGCTGAGGAATCAGCAAGTTATAGCAAAGATAAGAATTGGATCTTGTAGAAAATAGAAACACATAGCAACTTTTTCAATGACTCTAACAGAAGAATCAGTCAACTCAGAAGTATATATCTATAATAACACATCAGAAGATGAATTAATAAGAACCAATTGGCCTAGAGGTAAAAAGCTATATTGCAATGCCATGTGGTTTGAATCCTCCAGCTACTTCCTGGAAAAGAATGGGCCATCTCCTCCTGTGCTCTGAAAACTCTCTGGAAGGCCAGCTATGAGTTGATTTCCATTCAACAGCACACAACAACAAGTTTCATAAACAGTGACTGGTGTTTTAAAAAATGGGAACTTGAAGAGATGGAGTAATAAAAGGAATAGAGAAATAATAATTAGTTATGGAAAGCATGATATATATGAATTAAACACAATGTATATGTATTATTTTATATAAGTCAAAGATCAAAATGTATTTTAAAGTTTATGAACAATGTTATATTGATTGGTCTCTCTTTCCATGTAAAGTTAGAGCATGAATGTCAGTTTAAAGGCTAGGGTGAACCTGATCCATGCTTTGTGATTACTTGTTATGTATCTGGAAGTTGAACAGTGACTAAGGAAGACAGAAGAAAAATCCATGACTTTGAACTGTGGTTTTGGAGTACAGTACCCAATATTCCATGAACTGCCACAAGAACAAAAAACATGCCTTGGATAAAGTGCCAGCAGAATGTTCCCTAAAGGCAAGGATGGTGACATGTCATCTCACATTCTGGGCATGTTGTTAGGAGGGACCAGTCATTATGCTTGGAAAGAGCTTGGTCAGAGGAAGAGAGGAAGACCCTCAGAGAGATGGATTGACAGTGACTGTATCAATGGGTTAAAGCGTCTCAGAGATAATGATAGTGCAGGATAGGGCAGGATTCAGATCCTTTATTCATAGAGAAGCCATGAACCTTAGATAATTTAATGACACCTAACAATAACATGATTCCTCATGGCACAATGGTTAAAGGCCTTAATTGTAACCAAAAAGTCAGTGTTTTGAACTCATCAGTCATTCATTGGGAGAAAGATTTAGTAGTTTGCTCCCAAAATTTTACAGCTTAGAATATCTGTGGAGACAGTTTTACTTTGTCATATAGGGTCACTATGAGTTAGAATGGGCTCTGTGGCAGTAGATTTTAATTGGCTTAGTGTAATTATACTTTTAAATTTCTATTC